ATAGCCTGAATGATTCGATCAGCACCTTTCCAGGTAATAAATCATCATCACTGCTGTCATCATCTCCACTCAACGTTTCCGTTTGTTTACGTTTCCGCATTGCCGTTTCACTGAGTTCCTCATGAAAATTCTCACGAATATCGGCACGTCGTTGTGAGGCCAGTCGCCTTATTGCATCTTCGTCCTAAAATCCACATAATTTAGCTACCAATACACCCTCAAATTGACTGACATTTATGACATATGTGAATCTCTTCATATCCTTCTGCTGGATTGATTTCCTCTATTGAATCGCAACCACACAATATCTTATTCATTGCTTACACATTCAATATGATCATTCTTTACGTCTACATTTTGGTATTTATATACCATTTGGCAGGACCACTGCCTTGAATGTATGTATCAATTGCAACATGTGCCTATTGTAACAAATTCATGATTTTGAAATCCGACTTCAAGTACTCGAGAACAAACTTCAATATTACTCTCGCAATTTTCCTAAATGTCGCAACTTGTATTCCCTTTCTTCCGATCACAATCAAATGAGTCGAATGACAATTCAATTCGTTGATGAGTTGACAATCCAAAATTCCGACAATCAAAATACAACATTGCGTTGACAATCAAAAACACTTCCATCCAACATTTGCATTTCTTCAGTGGTTTTCCGTCGAATTCATCAAGCACCCGAATGACCAACCTTCTTGGATGTTCCTGATCCATCTGCAGTCATACTGGAACGTCTACTCTCCTCTTCATTACCACTATCCGTAAGTCGTTCGGTATCATTTCTGTGTCGCCTTCTGGCCAGAGTATCAGGGCCTGCACCTTCATCCTCACTGTCCGTAAGCCTTTCCGAAACGTTTCGATGGCGTTTTCTCGCCAAAGGATCACTCCCAGCCATGCTACTGATACTTCTATAGTCATAGGGTTGCGCTGCTCCAGATATGGCTGAATTCATTCCCCTTGCAAAACCACCCTAAAGTCAACAAAAAATCAATGCATTCGAAAATTACATGTCAATGAAGAATTCTATTATTGAACAACTCTATTCAGCAGAGCAATTTCTATGAACATCTCTATTGATCACAAATATGCATGAGACGTTCTTCTCCGCGATGCATTCCATTGATAATTTCCTTGCATTGGGATGAGTATATATAAGTTCATAATCATAACTTGATGGATCAAAATCAGCATTTAACTTCACTTCAAACAATTCAAAGATAACGTAATGAACTGAGTATTACTAAAAAGTACTTTTTATGTTCACCTATTGCATTTCACTCACTCATTTGCAACCATTTACCGAACAATCAACCTCTTTTCAATATTCATTATACCTTTCTGATTTATCAAACGGAACTCTGATTCCATTCATTCCGAGAAACTTTGTACTTATTTATCAGATGACTAGATTACAAAATCATTTCAATGGCAGAACAAGAGCACTCCTGCTGGTAATAAATGAAACTTGCGATTTCTATGCAATAGTGGCTTTTTACCTTTTTCCGATGTTTTTTGCGTTCACTATTCGAACTCATCGTTGTTCGTTAAGGTTTGCCTTCCTTATCCAATGATGCTGCTAGAATTACATGAAAAAGCCTCGTTCGACTGTATTTCTGCACAGCTTTTTTTCCAATAAGGTAGGTAGGTGTACACTTGGTATTGTTCTAAGAATAACAATAATAATAATGCTGATAAAATAAGTTGTAAACTAACATCCATATTAAAATAACTCTATTGATATGTATGTATTTATGTATGTAACACTCTTACTGTTGTTAACAACAGATTCGGTGCGACTGAATATGAATACGGAATATTGTTTGGAACGAAATCGAAGTGAATGAAATCAAATCAAATTTATGATCGATAACCAACAACACAAAATTATTATCTCGCTCGAACATTTCTTCTTCTTATATTGCGCATACATGAATGAATAAAACTCAGCTGTTCGTGCACTAATCATAAAATTATCAAAAAATAACTGTTATAAATTAACAAAACTTGTAACATCATCATTATTACTATTATTATTACGATAAATTCCTTCAAATAAACACACTAAAAATTGAGCCATCTAAACGAGAAAATCATAGCAAAACAATGGATAGCACACAGCGAAATCATGACCACCACAACAACAACAACAACAAAGAATCATAAAATAGCAGCTGGACGACGGAAGGACAGAAGGAACCAGGAAATCAAGAAGGAATCAACAGAATTCAACAAAACTATAACCACAACATTTCTGATTTTGAGAATGCTATCAAGAGCAGGAAACATATTGCTACTAAACGATTTCCATTTCAATCATTCAATCGAACAAATTTTTGCTGCATGTTTTTTGGGAGAATGATTCGAAATAAACAATCAATTCTTTTTTGAACAATAATTCAGCAAAACGCTACAAAAACAGCAAAAAAGGGGGTGACCGTACAACCATCCGGAACAGCAACTATACATGATGATGAATACGATGAATTGCTATGATAAAGTCCAGAAAAGAGGAACAATTCCAGAAAGAAAGAATGAAAACACGGTGACATTCAGCAGGGATGGCATTCATAATACACATATATCATGCGATTAAGCAAATAAGTAAATCACCGCGCATCTGTTTTCTAAAATGAAAAAAAATTACACGACAGTGATTTTACAGTGATTTCAATAACAGTGATAATCATTGCAATTATAACTTATTGGGATATCAAATGTAACAGTAATAGACAGTACAATTCATAACAATAATAGCCAACATAATATACCGACCAAACTGCAACAGTGCTCATAATTGTAACAATAATTCCAATAACAATAATAATAATAATGACAATAGTGTATAATGATAATAGAATTACAAAACGATTTATAAAAAAACTAATTCAATTGCTATATCGAACTCAACTTTCATTAAATACCATTGCTTTGTTGGACGAAAATAATCACAGAATTACAATTTCGTTAAGCAGATACACTCAAAATGATGATGGAATACAGTCATGAATTTAGCCACTCAAGCGATGAACAATTCTGCAATGTCTGAGCATCACTGAGAAATGAACGCAGCAGGCGATGGATGGATGGATGGATAGGTCAGATTGAAGATGGTGTAGAGCTTTATAACTGAAGATATCCTACTAAAGAAACACAACGGTTATGAACATAGTGGTTTGAGAAGCGGAAACGTGGTAGATTTTGATAAATCGACAATTCAATACAATGCTCGAGGTGTTCGCATTCGATTAACAACAACAACTCTATCGCATCATATATGCACAATGGGATATAGTCGAGATAAGTCTATCGGCAGACAGATAACAAGACAAGTGCAAACAAGAAACCTTTCGAAAAGAGATAGAAAGAAAGAGCATGATACTGATTCTCGTAACAACAACCCATATCATTCTCGTAAAAGTTGTCTCTAGGAGATGAAAAATTTCGTGGGAACAATGCAAAACAAAACAACAAAATCAACGAAC